AGCATATATACCTAATGGAACGGGCCTGATTGAGGGACCAATCGATTTGGGTGGTGGGCCCACCGGGCAGAGGATCGGACGAAGGCCCGTTTGAGCCGGCATAACGGAGGAAACCCCTTGTCGTTAGGACCGGATTGGTGAAACGGGATGAGACGAGGAAGACATAGTCCTTGGGCTGCTGATCGGCCGTGACAAGGACGGACATGCACTGGCCCAAGTGAATGTCGAGTGACGAGTAGCTGACCTGGACGGTGTGCGTGCCTTCCACCTCAACCACCTTCATTTTGTGGCTCTGAATGCGGAAGTTGAGCGAGTTTTGCAAACCCACATTGCACACGCGAAACCTATAGGTTTTTCCTGTTGCACGACGATCATCGGGAAGTTTAGTTTTATTTGATTTATTTAATTAAAAAGAATTTGGATTGTTCTTTTTTTTTTTTGGGATGAAATTATGTTGTAATGTACCTTGTTGGACTGTGAATGAGGTGACATTCGGGCCGCGGCCGTTGATTAGAATGCCGTCCGGGAAAGGTAGTTTGTTGCCCCCGTCCAGAATTGACCTCAAGCGCTGTACATATATAGGAAGATCAACAGAATTTAATTACATGGAAATAAGAAAATTAGAAAAAAAAATACTAAATTTTCATGCTATATAGCCTATATGCAGCTGAACAAAAGTCATGTTAGTTTATGCAAAAATATTTTTTTTTTCCATCAAGAAGTTTCAAGAAATCAAGAATTGCCCCGACTTTTAGCATAATTGTGAAAATGTCCCACTTGTTTTTTTCTTTAATTAAAGTACCCCTAAAACTTCGCAAATACTTAGGTGCGTCCTGACACATCTAGCAAGGTGTGCCAAGACAATTTAAAATGAACATGTCACATTATAAAATGAACTTGTGTACACATGATAAGATTTTATATAAAATGTTCATTTTAAAAATGTCTTGGCACATCTTGCTAGATGTGTCAGGACGCACGATAGCACTGTTAAAACTTTGTAGTTACCATGCAAACAAGATAAGATTCCATGTACTATTTGGTGTTATGAATGACATGTGCACAAATATAATCATTCATCTAACGAAGTTAAAATAGAGAGCATAAAGTGGAACAAGGAATATCATTCCCACGCAAACACCCCCCCCATGTGAGGTTGCATCTTTTATGACTAGAATAAATGTCTGGATATAAAATAATATTAAAATTTCCTAGGCACTTTTGTAATTATTCATAATTCCAAGAAAAAAAAAAATGGATTTCATTCGTACTTAGCAAGTTATTTTTCACTATCACAACTTGAATATGCAGCTATGTCTAGACATGGCCGGCCCGTGGACCCGGACCGAAACCGGTACCAGACCGGCCACCTAAGGGCCGGTTCGTTTAACCGGATCGTGTGAGCCACGGTTCGGTCCCGATTGGCGCAATTTTTCTTTATTGTCCCGGCACGGGCAATGGGTGTCTCTCTGTTTTTTTTTTTTTTGTACGGGTCGGGCAGGACCGGACCGGTCCGATGAACCGGCCGTAAGAACTTTCCGGTTCAGTCACGGGCCAGTGTTTTGAGGACCGTCGTCCTGGGCCCGAACTCGTTGACTGGCCATGTCTACCTATGTCCCATTTGGGTTTGTCCATTTCCTTAAACTGAATTTTCACAATTTCCCCACTAGAATATGTTAGAAAGGTCCCAATTGCTTTTGTCCATTTCCTTTAAATATTTTGTATAAATTCATGATTATTAAATATAAACATAATCAAATTTACAAAGTTTAAGTTTATTATCATTGTTTTATTTTTTTATTTTTATTTTTTTATTCTGGCCGGGTAGCTGGTTCAAAAATGATCCAGCTGTAAATGGGCCCGAAAAAGAAAGCAAAGGTCAAAGGAAGCAGACTCTGTACTAATTAGGCTATTATTGGGATGGCCCACTAAATTACCGACACGTTTTTATAATAGTAAAAAATGAAAGCCCATGACCCATGATTCAATTTTTGGTTGAGATCTGTCACCACATGACCAACACTATTCCAGCACATGCTGCTACACATTCACAAAAAGAACTTAAAAACATGGACAATTTTTTTTTTTTTTTTAATTTGTTTTAGAAAAATTAATAAAATCGTAAATTAGCTTCCTAAAATAAGATAAGTTTTCAATC